TAGAAGTCACATCCCAGATATGAATGTCAGCAATAGGGGTGATCTAGTATGAAGGAAGCCCAATGCTTGTGGAAGCAGCAGAAGACTCATCCAGGCCAGTGGATTTGAAGATTGGAAGGTCACTTGTGCAGGTCATCAAGTAGTACCTATAACAGTGGCCAATTTCTCTAAATGTGAGCAAACAGTTAAGGAAGAGGCATTGTTGGGTGTGTGCCAGGAGGTAGAGCCAGTCAATGTTAAAGCAAGAAATACAACCATAAAGAAAGTACATACACTCCCAGAACATTTAACTGACCTCTATAAGAAGAGCACAGTCCATTTGTCATCATCACAGGTTCTTCAGGTTAGGGAACTTTTGGCGAATTATGCAGACGTCTTTTCGAAAGGAGATCATGACCTTGGCTGCACAAACCCTTGTGAGTATCAAGGTGCTGGATCACAAAGGAGTACCAGAAGCTCTGTGGCATGAGAGGACATTATGCAAGGTTGTGGGGACCAGTGTGGATAACTATTGAGCTCATGGGCATGAAGAACAGACAGAAAGTATACTTGGCTGACATTGAAGAACAATGCATATTAGGATTGGACTATTTATTACCGAGGAAGTGTGTAGTTAACTTCGATAAAATGACGATTGGAAATAACAAAGGCCAAGTTCCAGTAGGGGTTGCTGCATCAGTTGATTTGCATGTCACAGCACTTAAGTCAACTACAATACCCCCTATGTCAGAGAAGATAATTTGGGGTAGAATATAAGAACATCCCCGAGGATAACCCTAGTGTACCTGGATGATGTCATTGTATTTGCAACAACTTTTGATGAGGAAATGTCCCGGCTAGAGGAAGTATTCAATCATTTGAAAGCAGCAAACCCTAAACTCCATCCCAAGAAATGCCACTTGTTCCAGAAAGAGGTGATTTACTTAGGTCACATTGTAAGTGAGCATGGTGTGCAAACTGATCCTGATAAGGTGAAAGCAGTGCGTGATTGGCCAATAGCAGACAACGTGGGAGAGTTAAGAAGTTTCTTGAGACTGTACGTATTATCGGAAGTTTATGAAGGACTTTGCAACTATAGCTGCTCCACTACATGATTTTACCAAAAAAGGC